TGTTGTTTCCCGCATTTTTCCACTGCTCCATACATTCTTATGGTAGTGTAGTGTGAACTTGAGGCGCGTAAGAATATTCTTGCTGATTCTCTACCCCCAGTATAAATTCTGGCTTCGTTTTCGTTCTTGCTCATTCCCATGTAACTACTGATGAAAATGGGTGAAAAGCTTTTAGTATTATGAAATTGACAACCTTGTTGTTGTGTGTATATATATATATATATATATATATATATATATAGAGAGAGAGAGAGAGACAGCCAGAGGGAGAGCGACGGAGAGAGACAGACGGACGGACGGACGGACGGTCGGTCGGACGGACGGACGGACGGACGGACGGACGGACGGACGGACGGACGGACGGACGGACGGACGGACGGACGGGGAGAGAGAGAGAGAGAGAGAGAGAGAGAGAGAGAGAGAGAGCGGATAGTGCATTGAAGGAAACAGTTGGAAAGCATCATCTTTTGTCGTCCACATGTATCTAAGGACATGAAACCGTCAGTTTGTGGTGTTACGCTAAATAAACTTCTACAACAGCAACATCAGACACAGGTTGCGCTTGTTTGAAAGTCATCGCACCTTGTTTTGGTTCCAGTACGTTTGTTTGATACACTCGGCTGTGTTCGCGCAATGCCAATTCCGGTCGCGGAATGAATGGAGCAGAATCGGTTTCCGCGATTCCAAAGAAAAAGTGGAATGAGTTCCCATCCCGAGCGGAATGACAATGCGCTTCGGCCACTGTGGCCTTTGTCGCTGGTGCATACCTCCGCCAACAAACTTTAAACTCGATTCTCGCCATACGCAACATTGTATAGGGTATAGTGCGGCACTGCAAGCTCGGCATAGTTACTTGTTGGTGGTATTTTGACCCTTGGCTGCCTGAGAAAGTGTTCGCCAAGGATAAGAACTGGAAAGATGGCCTCGCACCTCTCCTCCTCATCGTCGAGCAGGGGTTCTAGAATCACAGCGAGACTAGCCAGAACTCATTGTCGAGCCCCACGATCCACAGCACATAATCTTCCAAACAGGTACTGAGCGTGCCACTTGGCTTCTGCTCACTGCAGTGCTTAATTTCTGTCAAATATAAAAAAGCCTCAGTTACGTGTAGAACTAGAGATGTTTCTGTGACTGAGACGAGGTGTTGAATAGTCATGATGAAGTAGTGGACAAACACCATGTATAGGCACCCTAGTTACGGGTGCTCGTAGATCTACGCCGCGTTTGGCCGCACCATCATCTGGACTGTTGTAAGGGGCATGCAGAAATGTACGCAAGCAAAAAAGTAACTACCGATAGCCTTGGCAAGGCTACAAAACAACAGGTGAAGCTGGTATACAAACAAAACATCCAACCATCATTTCCAGAGTTGCACAAAACGCCAGATTCACTAGTCAACGCGGGCGGGTTTGTTTGCTACCCTCATTCCGATTCCACGATGGGTACCGCCCGCCTTTCATGCCCATTCGGGGAAGGACCGAACCAATGCAACCTTAAACTTTCCATGTAAAAGTAGTGCCGGGTTGTAGGAAGTGGACTTACATAACTACGTCAGCAGTTCAATCTCCCCGGAAGAAGATACTTCTTCAATTGAGTGTACATGGGATTTCGTTGCGGGTGCAACAACTACAAATGGTCGCGCCACCTTGCATTTAGTCGTTGACCTTTGCGGTACCCGTTGGCTGACTGCAATTGTTGTTGTGGTTGTGTCTGGCTGGGCTGCAGCCTGTTGGTCATCACCACCTTCCTCCTCGGTGGTGTTGGGGGGCAGGATATCCACGGGGACAGTGACAGGAGTGTCCACAGGCAGTGTCCTGTTGAAGTGGAATTGATGACATCAATAAGTTCGATGTACTTGCACTTTTAAGTGCAAGTACATCGAAAAGAATGAACTGTAATTCTGACGCTCGTCATATAAAACCATTCTGCTCTATCCTTTATTCTATGTAACTTCTACTCGCCATGGGTTTTGAGCCCACATGGAACCTTTCTACATGTTCTCGTTTTATTGTTTTGTGCAGCTATGTTCGGGAGATTGTGGTAATGAGCATGCCATCAGTGTTGTACTGACCAGATAAACTTCGTGTCTTTTCATTACTTTCTTGCCAGTGCTTCTTTTTCTATTCTACTATAGGCTGTCGAAGTGCCTACGCCACGCTGCCTGAAAACTCTTAGTCACACGTAGTTACAAGCCCAAGTGGTAACAAACAAAAGTCGCGTCGCCTGCACTTGTCGTGTTTCCAACGGTCACAGCATCACTTTGACTGGGGCGCGCTGGTGCAGATTGCGACTTCAAAATTGGTTTTACTTCAACAAGTTTCTCCTTGCCTCTCAAGCCATCGTGCAGTGTTTACCTGCTGAGTGTTACCCAGCACCTGAGAGATAGGAGTTATGATTTTCACTTGCCGCTGGACAAGGAAACCAGCCCAGAGTTGGTTGGTCTCAGAACCAAAAGAAATCAGCGATCGCGGCGATAGAAATAACAGAGACACCGATCATTGTTTCTTGGCTGGCGACTACATGTAAAGTCAAACGACAGTACAGGCACAGCAGTGGCCAAGCAAAAAAATCAGCTACGGCTTCTCCTTCTCTACAAGGCGAAAACTAGAAACTCGGCGACAAGTAGCAGTTTATTTGAAATAAATAGTCTCGCTGGTGCTCTCCTCAGTCAAAAAGATGCTGTAGCTGTGGTCACTGCATAATGCTGCCACTGGAAACACGAAAAGTGCAGGTGACGCGACTTTTGTTTGGCACCACTTGGCCAAGTAACTACGCGTTGTCAAGAAGCTGTGACGTCAGAGTTCGACGGCCTACTATGTCTCTATAATAATAATAATAATAATATAATATTCGCGGGATCCGCGTTAGCATCACTTGAATGTTCAGAAACACACAAGCTATAGCCTTCGCTTCCGCAGGCCACCGCTATGCCTTTACACCTTAGTAGCGAATGCAGACCTCACAAGTGAGTCAGGGGAGAGGAGGTGAGTCTCTCAACCAATCGGGCGTGTAACGGCCCATAACCCTGTAAACTGCATCCTTGTTATCCTCACTCGAGCTGTGAGTACCCAGTTGACCGTGGGTTTCGGCGCAGTTCAACACGCGTAAAAAGTCTTTTTACACGCTCCCTGCTGCCAGCGCGGGTCTCAAACTCGGGACCTCATGATTCGCAGGCAGGCCTGCAAACCAATCGGCCATATGCGTTGGTCTCTATAATCAAATCGTTAATCCAGTATTCGGCAGTATTCTAGGGTGTTGACATGGGGGTTTGTCTAAGACCATGATTGAGAAATAGATGGTACCAGGTTCAAGTCCTGCCAGGAAGCGGAAGGATTTGTTCCAGCTGTGCTGCGGCCCATAGTCGATAGGAAACTCGTGGCCTGGCACGAGGGAAACATGAATGCAGCAAATGAGCTTTTCGGTCTCGGACCACTTTGGTGGTGGGCCTCCCACCGCTTTAGGAGCTGCTTCTGCACTTTAAATCTTTAAAGGGTGGTGGAGTTCCTACGGATGCTGAAAATTCACTCCAACTGAGTCTCGAGCGGACCGTGAAATTGATTTCTACGTTTGTTGACAGGGGGTGACTTGGGCCTGTGGAGACTATCCAAAACTGTTATTATTGTTGATGTTATCATTTCACTCGGATGGTGAGCAAATTAAATTATTGTGAAAAGAAGAAGGACAAAATATTACGAGTTATGAATAACTGTCCACCATTTTGTCGCACTCTCTGACTGTATAAGATCTGGTTACGTTGGTGGGCAGTTAGTCATAACTCGTAACATGGTGTCCTTCTTCTTATCAGGATGTTATCATTGCATGTGTAATATGCACAGACATACCACTCTGCCATACTCCACCATTGAGAAATCAATGTGTTATGCACAGACATACCACTATGCCATACCCCACCATTGGAAAATCAATGTGTTATGCACAGACATACAATTATGCCATACCCCACCATTGGAAAATCAATGCAACTGCGTTTATATACAATCTTTTTTTCTTTTTTTCTATTTCGGACATACTTTTGCATGTGCAATGACGGAGACTCAATCGATTTAGGCTAAGGCCTGTGGAGAATCCATAAATACAATTGAAGGGCTCCAATTCAAAACGCTATAATGACCAAACCGGAGCTTTTGCGTTTTTTTGTAATGGAAGAATTCATTATCACGCCACGGACGTCTGTGTGTGTCGGTTTTACGGGTCAAAATGAGATACATCCCAGTCAAAATGATGCCTAAAGTTTATGTTCTTCTGGAAAACACGATAAAGGTCATTGCTGCTGCAGTGCAGACCGAAAAGAACGAAGGAAAAACTGCAGTTCCTGAACTTTCCATAAAACGGTTTTACATCGTGTTGAATCGGAGCCCTTCAATTGCAAATGCGATGCAGAGGTGGATCGTACTTAAATCCGAACATAAAAACGGACACATCGATGTTGATCAAAAATTGCACAGTTTTGATTTATCCTATCGGACTATTGTCAAAGTGAGATGTTGAGACTTGGGCAGTTATTGTAGAAGAAGGTGGCTGCTCCAGACATTGGACCTACTCAGCTTACTCCAGTTCAGCTGATGAGTCAGTGATGACGAGAGGGGAATTCCCCGAAACACTGTGTGTTGAGCAGAGAGTGGTGCTTTCTTGCAGGCTTCACGAGGGGACCGCCTCACGTACTTTTCATGTGCTCCACACGGCAGTCGTGAGTCAGTCGTCTGGGCAGGAAGCGCAAGTTCAAACGTTTGTAGCAGCCATCTTCTTAGACTATTGCTAGTGCCGAAAAATGGAGAGGATTGAAACACTCCTTCATAGATAGTAGCAGCCTGAAACTTGGGAATCTGAAAAAAATAGATTGTTGTAGGTGACCTTCATGCAAAACAGATTTTTGCCAAAAAGTAGGTAACATTCCAATTCTCCGTTTCTACCTTGTTCGCTCACACATGATGCAACCAGGCGAAACTGTTCCTGTGCGCATTTCTCCACCGTACAGGGTTTTCTCATTGTAAAGGCAGGGCAACATGTAACTGCTGGTGGCACTTCGGATGTAGGTAATTTCCAGAGCCACTAGCCATCCTTCATATCCTATGAGCGCATACACGTAAGTAGCGTAAAGTACAGCGAGTACGGGGCGTCCTTTTCTGGTCATAGTGTGGACGTGGGGTCCTGTCTGTAGGTCATACCACACGAACCGTGTATACACATTGCACGTTGTGCAGTCAATCCGTATACACGTTAACATTTGGCGGGCACGAGCTGCACACAAAAACCTAAGTGTGACTTTAGTACACTAAGGCTCTCACATCGCACACAATCTATTGCACTCTGCCATAGGATTATGTGTTTTCCCTGGCTGTGAAATCAAGGTGGGGTGCTCTGGTGGTAATTTACAGTAGAGACCAAGAGCAAACAGTACACAAGCCGCCGCCACACCAGTATAAAGTAGAAATTTATAGTAAGATCCTACCTGTCAACCTTCTTCATCTTAAAGGTGAGAAGGATGGCACATGCCACTGTCACGATGCTTACTACACTAGCAATGCCAACGATAGCTCCAGTTGATACACGCTGCTTTGTAGAATCATCGGCAGTGGAAGGCGGATGCAAGGATCGTGTTCCACTTGACATAGCTGATTTTAAGATGTAGGAGGTAGCGAGTTTGTGTGAAGTAGTCGTGGCGTCGTGGGCAGAAGCGCCGATGAAGTGGTAGTTGAACCGTAGGTTGTGACATTTTGGGCCACAAAAGGACATAAACAGAAACGAGGCATTCAGTACGAGATGTCGAGCAGCAACTAGTTACTTCTGACACACTGAGTGGTGTGGTACAGGCATACTGGGCCTACACAGAGTACACACCGAACCTACCATGAAAGACACATACATTCTTGCTCGCCTAGACGTATACAGCGTGCACACCGAGCCACCATGAAAGACACAAACATCTTTGCACGGCTAGAAACAATTCTGCCACAAGTCTTTCTAGTAGATGCTGAAGAAAGTTGTTGTCACTGCACTAATAGTCACTTCTGCACCAGTAGATGCAACACAGTGGTCATACAGTGTTTTCAAAACCCATTGCAGTGCTTGATGCACTCACTGAAAGTGCAAGGCAAGGAGAAACAGAATAGAACGTACCACTGGTGTCATCACTTGTAGGAGAGACTTCTAAATAGAACACAGCAAAATACACGCACATATATTATACCAGCGATTTTAGGGTAACAAAAGGACATAAACGAGAACGAGGAATTCAGTACCAGAGGTCGAGCAGCAACTAATTTCTTCTTACATGCTCTGTGGTGTGGTACAGACGTACTAGTTGTATACAGAGCACACACCGAGACTGCCAAGAAAGACACATACATCTTAGCACGGCTAGTTGTATACGGAGTACACAACGAGCCTACCATGAAAAACACATACATTTTTGCACGGCTAGTCGTATAGAGAGTACACACTGAGCCTACCATGAAAGACACATACATCTTTGCACGGCTAGAAACAATTCTGACACATGTTTTTCTAGTACATGCTGAAGAAAGTTGTTGTCACTGCTCTAATGGTCACTTCTGCACCAGTAGATGCAACACAGTGGTCATACAGTGTTTTCAAAACCCATTGCCGTGCTTGATGCACTCACTGAAAGTGCAAGGCAAGGAGAAACAGAATAGAACGTACCACTGGTATCATGACTTGTAGAAGAGACTACTGAATAGAACAGAGCAAAATACACGCACACAGATACCAGCGATTTTAGGGTAGCAAAAGGGCAGAAACGAAAACGAGGAATTCAGGACCAGTGCTAGAGGTCCGGCAGCAACTAGTTACTTCCGACATGCTCGGTGGTGTGGTACAGATATACTAGCAGTGTCTGCTCTAGGATTGTAGGACAGCCGGGTACACGTGTACCTGGCGCAACCATTTCAACCGGGTCGGAGCCGGGTACACATGTGCTTGGCGCTGTCTCACCAGCCGAGTCACATGCGAGGTCTGTGGATTCGCCTCTTCGCTGGAGGCTCAAAGCAACACCTCAAACGATCAAGCTCAAACTGAGCACTTGCACACACCGGATACTGACTACTTTCACTTCGATGCGCGCCTCTGCATGATCTGTCACACATACAAGCCATGTAGTCAATCCCTTCAAAGTTCGAGCGTGTAAAGTACGAACCGGGTCACAGGTGATCCGGTACTATATTTTCAACCAGGTCCAAGCGCCGTCCAACCGGGTCAATTACCCGGCTCACCCGGCTCTGGAGCAGACACTGACTAGTCGTATACGGAGTACACACCGAGCCTACCATGAAAGACACATACATTTTTGCACGACTTGTCGTATAGAGAGTACACACTGAGCCTACCATGAAAGACACATACATCTTTGCACGGCTAGAAACAATTCTGCCACAAGTCTTTCTAGTACATGCTGCAGAAAGTTGTTGTCCCTGCTCTAATGGCCATTTCTGCACCAGTAGATGCAACACAGTGGTCATACAGTATTGTTGAAATGAGCGTATCTATAACCAACGAGCGATCGGTTCCACTAACGAGCAAGCTATCGAGCGAGCTAACGAGTTTCATTGATGTGGCAAATATGTTTTTTGAATATTTTTTTCTAAGTTAGATTTTATTCAGCTGGTTCAAATCATCACCACCGGCATTTGGGATTGCTGCTTCTTCACTTCATTCTGCTGTTTGGTGTCGAGATGTCTTTTCAGCGCCGTCGTTGAGTAGCCTTTGTAAGAATGGACCGTTTTGCAAAGATTGCAAAGAGCCCTGGTCCTCGCTGCTTAGCGGGAGAAAATTTCCAAACGACTGAGCGTAACTTTCACTCGAATGGAGAGGCGACCGAAGCATATCCTGCGACAGGTCAGCAGATGCGGAACAAGACATCAGTAGAGTCCACCAAAGCTGCAACGGCAACTGAAACAACTCAAGTGTCGTGCAGACATACAGTCACCGTAACTGCGAGTGATTTTCACTTTGCGTGGGACTGGACTCTCGATCGACCAGGGAGTCGTAAAATATTTTACGACTCCCCAGTCAACATGTACTGAGAAACGCCGCTGCTATGAGGAGCGTGTTCGAGAGATCGAACATGCAACTTTTTCACCTCTCGTTCTCTCCTCAACAGGCGGCATGGGCAAGTCGGCAACAGCCTGCTATAAGCGGATTGCCGGGCTCCTGTCCGACAAGACGAAGGAGCCGTACAACCGTGTAATGGCGTGGATTCGCTGCCGACTTGGCTTTGCTCTGGTTCGCTCCAGCATGGTTTGTTTGCGTGGTGCTCGGCGACGCCCCATGCGCGTCAGCGATGTGGCGGATGCATCTGCTACCTTGGCCGTTGCCGAGGCCCGCTGCCCTGTGTAACTGACTGCAAGTGGTTCCTAAATCAGTTCCTATTCCTCATTGTTGCTTCTTTTTTCCCCTCTAGTTTTCTTTTACGGTATTATAATTTCACGGAGAAGGCGGAGAGCGCGAACATGTGCAGTTTTATGTTTATTATTTGCCATGGCGACCCCCGTAAGTCCAAATAACTGGCAGGGCAGGGTTGGGCCTTTTTCTTTCTTCTCGGATTTATTTTCATGACATGCTCACTGATGGTAAAAAAAATTAAAAAAAAGTTTTGCAAAGTCAACATGTACTGTCATGTGTACGGAGTACGGTGTACGGTGTTCGTTAGTGCAAACAAGCTGGCCGCACAAACGAGCCGAGTTTCTGGCGAGCGAGCTAACGAGTATCCGGTGAGATCGTTTCAACACTATCATACAGTGTTTTCAAAACCCATTGCAGTGCTTGATGCACTCACTGAAAGTACAAGGCAAGGAGAAACAGAATAGAACGTACCACGGGTAACAGGACTTGTAGGAGAGACTACTAAATAGAACACAGCAAAATACACACACATAGATACCAGCGCATTTAGGGTAACAAAAGGACATAAACGAAAACGAGGAATTCGGTACCAGGGGTCGAGCAGCAACTAATTTCTTCTGACATGCTCTGTGGTGTGATACAGACATACTAGTTGTATACAGAGCACACACTGAGACTCCCAAGAAAGACACATACATCTTAGCACGGCTAGTCGTATACGGAGTACACACCGAGCCTACCATGAAACACACAACAGTGGCGGATCCAGGATTTGGCCGAAGAGGGGGCCCAAGGTATCCGTCCCGGATGCCCCCTGCCCCCCCCCCCCCTGGATCCGCCACTGCACATACATCTTTGCACGGCTAGAAACAATTCTGCCACAAGTCTTTCTAGTACACGTTGCAGAAAGTGGTTGTCACTGCTCTAATGGCCATTTCTGCACCAGTAGATGCAACACAGTGGTCATACAGTATTGTTGAAATGAGCGTATCTATAACAAACGAGCGATCGGTTCCACTAACGAGCAAGCTATCGAGCGAGCTAACGAGTTTCATTGATGTGGCAAATATGTTTTTTTGAATATTTTTTTTCTAAGTTAGATTTTATTCAGCTGGTTCAAATCATCACCGCCGGCATTTGGGATTGCTGCTGCTTCACTTCATTCTGCTGTTTGGTGTCGAGATGTCTTTTCAGCGCCGTCGTTGAGTAGCCTTGGTTAGAATAGACCGTTTTGCAAAGATTGCTAAGAGCCCTGGTCTTCGCTGCTTAGCGGGAGAAAATTTCCAAACGACTGAGAGTAACTTTCACTCGAATGGAGAGGTGACCGAAGCATATCCTGCGACAGGTCAGCAGATGCGGAACAAGACATCAGTAGAGTCCACCAAAGCTGCAACGGCAACTGAAACAACTCAAGTGTCGTGCAGACATACAGTCACCGTAACTGCGAGTGATTTTCACTTTGCGCGGGACTGGACTCTCGATCGACCAGGGAGTCGGAAAATATTTTACGACTCCCCAGTCAACATGTACTGTCATGTGTACGGAGTACGGTGTACGGTGTTCGTTAGTGCAAACAAGCTGGCCGCACAAACGAGCCGAGTTTCTGGCGAGCGAGCTAACGAGTATCCGGTGAGATCGTTTCAACACTATTATACAGTGTTTTCAAAACCCATTGCAGTGCTTGATGCACTCACTGAAAGTACAAGGCAAGGAGAAACAGAATAGAACGTACCACGGGTAACAGGACTTGTAGGAGAGACTACTAAATAGAACACAGCAAAATACACACACATAGATACCAGCGCATTTAGGGTAACAAAAGGACATAAACGAAAACGAGGAATTCAGTACCAGGGGTCGAGCAGCAACTAATTTCTTCTGACATGCTCTGTGGTGTGATACAGACATACTAGTTGTATACAGAGCACACACTGAGACTCCCAAGAAAGACACATACATCTTAGCACGGCTAGTCGTATACGGAGTACACACCGAGCCTACCATGAAACACACATCAGTGGCGGATCCAGGATTTGGCCGAAGAGGGGGCCCAAGGTATCCGTCCCGGATGCCCCCTGCCCCCCCCCCCCCCCCTGGATCCGCCACTGCACATACATCTTTGCACGGCTAGGAACAATTCTGCCACAAGTCTTTCTAGTACACGTTGCAGAAAGTGGTTGTCACTGCTCTAATGGCCATTTCTGCACCAGTAGATGCAACACAGTGGTCATACAGTATTGTTGAAATGAGCGTATCTATAACAAACGAGCGATCGGTTCCACTAACGAGCAAGCTATCGAGCGAGCTAACGAGTTTCATTGATGTGGCAAATATGTTTTTTTGAATATTTTTTTCTAAGTTAGATTTTATTCAGCTGGTTCAAATCATCACCGCCGGCATTTGGGATTGCTGCTGCTTCACTTCATTCTGCTGTTTAGTGTCGAGATGTCTTTTTAGCGCCGTCGTTGAGTAGCCTTGGTAAGAATAGACCGTTTTGCAAAGATTGCAAAGAGCCCTGGTCTTCGCTGCTTAGCGGGAGAAAATTTCCAAACGACTGAGCGTAACTTTCACTCGAATGGAGAGGTGACCGAAGCATATCCTGCGACAGGTCAGCAGATGCGGAACAAGACATCAGTAGAGTCCACCAAAGCTGCAACGGCAACTGAAACAACTCAAGTGTCGTGCATACATACAGTCACCGTAACTGCGAGTGATTTTCACTTTGCGCGGGACTGGACTCTCGATCGACCAGGGAGTCGGAAAATATTTTACGACTCCCCAGTCAACATGTACTGTCATGTGTACGGAGTACGGTGTGCGGTGTTCGTTAGTGCAAACAAGCTGGCCGCACAAACGAGCCGAGTTTCTGGCGAGCGAGCTAACGAGTATCCGGTGAGATCGTTTCAACACTATCATACAGTGTTTTCAAAACCCATTGCAGTGCTTGATGCACTCACTGAAAGTACAAGGCAAGGAGAAACAGAATAGAACGTACCATTGGTAACAGGACTTGTAGGAGAGACTACTAAATAGAACACAGCAAAACACACACACATAAATACCAGCGCATTTAGGGTAACAAAAGGACATAAACGAAGACGAGGAATTCAGTACCAGGGGTCGAGCAGCAACTAATTTCTTCTTACATGCTCTGTGGTGTGATACAGACAAACTAGGTGTATACAGAGCACACACTGAGACTCCCAAGAAAGACACATACATCTTAGCACGGCTAGTCGTATACGGAGTACACACCGAGCCTACCATGAAACACACATCAGTGGCGGATCCAGGATTTGGCCGAAGAGGGGGCCCAAGGTATCCGTCCCGGATGCCCCCAGCCCCCCCCCCCCCCCCCTGGATCCGCCACTGCACATACATCTTTGCACGGCTAGAAACAATTTTGCCACAAGTCTTTCTAGTTCACGTTGCAGAAAGTTGTTGTCACTGCTCTAATGGCCATTTCTGCACCAGTAGATGCAACACAGTGGTCATGCAGTGTTTTCAAAACCCATTGCAGTGCTTGATGCACTCACTGAAAGTGCAAGGCAAGGAGAAACAGAATAGAACGTACCACTGGTAACATGAATTGTAGGAGAGACTACTAAATAGAACACAGCAAAATACACGCACATATATACCGACACACAAGCATATGCGTTACACACAGAAAGGCAGAGATGGAAAGAAGCAAGTGAAAACCTAGATTGCAGCTACTAGTGATCCCCATGTGAAGTACACATAGGTTTTGCCATACAGGAGTGTGCACTCAAACATTGCCAGTGACATTAGTGTTCAGCGCCTGTCTCTGTCTCACCCAAGCATGAACCATGGCACAATTCACAACACATCAATGTGAAGTTGTGTGATGCATAGCACATAAGGCACTTACCCACACACTTGCTCCCTGCCCATATATAGTTTAGTTTACAAATACAGTTGACAGTGCCTTGTCCCATCACGTGATTACAGGATTCAACATTGATGTCATCGGAACATCTAACTCTGCAACCTGGAATGGAAATAGAAGAGAACGGGTGCAAAAAAAGTGTGCCATTTACCGGTATTATTATAGACCAGCATGTTTGTGTGTTTGCTTGGAACTAGGATAATTCAAGGTCTATTTTAGATGTTAGTTTTATTACGCAAGTCGTCATTGTCGGCAAAAACGGATAGTGAGCGTGAAATTGTGTGCTAGAGTGATCACTATATTTAGATAGGCATAGCAAGTAGAATGTGACCTCCATCACCAGTTAGTAACACTTCGAGACACCAATGACCGGTGCACAACTTCACGGCCATTTGAAACCGCTTTCCAACTGTTCTCGTTCGGCAACTCGACAGACCCAAATAAAGCTGGAAAAATAACTCACTGCTTCACACTCTTAAAACCCCGAAAAAACCCTCATCACTAGTAGTGTGGAAACGATCTCACCGAGTACTCGTTAGCTCGCTCGCCAGAAACTCGGTTCGTTTGTGCGGCCAGCTCATGTGCACTAACGAACACCGTACTCCGTACACATGGCGGTATATATCGACCGGGGAGTCGTAAATATTTTACGACTCCCTGGTACGAAGACTCCAGTCCCACGCAAAAAGAAAATCACTCGCAGTTACAGTGACCGTATGCCTGCACAACGCGAATGTGTTTCAGTTGTCGTTGCAGCTTTGGTGGCCTCCACTGATGTCTTGTTCCGCATCTGCTGATCTGTCGCAGGACATGCTTCTGTCAACTTTCCATTCGAGTGAAAGTTAGTCCCAGTCATTTGGAAGTTTTCTCCCGCGATGCAGCGAAGAACAGGGCTACTTGCAATCGTTGCAAAACGGTCTATTCTTACAAAGGCTGCTCAACGACTGCGCTGAAACGACAGCTCGGTACCAAACAGTAGTCCGAAGTGAAGCAGAAGCAACCCCAAATACCAGCAGTGATAATTATTTGAACCAGCTGAATTGAATAAGAAATCGAGCTTAGAAAAAAATACGTAAAAAATCATATTGCCGCATCAATGAAACTCGTTAGCTCTCTCGATAGCTTGCTCGTTAGTGGAACTGTTCGCTGGTTTGTTAACCCCTTTAGCGCAAACGTCGTACTGGTACGACGCACATGAGTTGCATGCCCCACGGCCGTCGTACTAGTACGACGCGCGCTGTACACTGTACAGTGAACCTGCATCTCATAGTCGTTGGGTCCGTGTTGAGTCCATAGCGACTTATTCAAACTATCGTAACTCACTCCATACTTGGTCGATTCTCACAATCGAAACCTGTATCTGCACGTGAAAACTCTCAGTTGGCGATAGAAACAATCGCCGATGCGTTACGACTACCGGTTGTTGAGATATGCGACTCGACACGGCAAATTTCAGCTAGATTTTTTCGTGCAGTCTGCAGAACGCGTATTTTCCATTGTGGATCATTTTTTGCGCTACTTGCTGCCATGGAAACAGGATTCAAATGATGGTAGTAGATCCCGCGAGTCTTGACAAAACATTTGAGCTCGATACGAGCAAGGAGACCGAAATGGCAGCTGAATATTTGACCCCGGTTAGTCTTGGCCGTACTCGAGTCTGTCGAGCACGTTGATGAAGTTTGCCAGACTGTAGCACGGGGTTTTGGTTTTGCTCCGAGCTGGGTTTGCCACCAGTTTGTTCCTCGGCTCAAGACCTTTCCAGGAAGCTCAAGATCGTGGAATTTGTCCAACGGAAGGTAAAGTTATCAATCCTTGAACAGGTAGTACTTTCATGGGAAAATACGATTTTTACAGGTGTTGACGTTTGGGCGCGTTCAGGTAGCGTTCAGGTAGCGTCGTGGTAAAGATACGCTTGTTTCAACACCAATAATAACTAGTGTACTGACTTACTTTCACATGCTGGTGGTCTTGGGTTCCATACTCCGCCACTCTGGCATGTAGAATAGGTCACATCCAGACTGGTGTTAGCAAGAAACCCAGCTTGACAACTTATTGATATGTTCGTGCCAATCGCTCTGCTAAAATCAGTAATGGGTTTGAAGTTGTGTTTTGCAAAAATGAGATCTGGACAAAGTTCTGGAAACAAAGAAGAGAACATTCAAGCCGGTTGTAGGTTTTGTGGTAACAAGTCTTCAGTGTACAATAATGGATAGAGTGAAGACTTGAGAAATAAACTCTGATCGGAATTTCAAAATTTGGGACTTGATGGAGAGTTGCAAAGTATTAGGAAATTAGACCAGGTGCCTCGTACTGCTCTTTTTCTCTCCGAAACTCAACACTTGCTAATCAGATACGAAAGAAAGAAAAAACTCATCAGTCACACCCCCACTACTCGAACCAGGGATCTTCGCGAGAAAGGTCCCTGGTTCGAGTTAGTCCCATATAGTCCCATATTAGCTGCAGAATGTGAAAGTGAAAAAAACAAAAAAAACAAGCGCCCTACATCAGAGCCTCGGGACACGAGTCCGTGTGTGGAAGGTGTGGGGGAAAGCATACGGGGTGCAGTGACAGACGTACAGCCAGCATGCAACACAGAGTGTGCATAAACCATGAGCGGAAATCACGTATTATTCATGCCGAAATGTGAATATAGGTCATGCACAAGTGCTACCAAACTAGGCTATTGTTCCTTCGAATATAAATACTCCAACATAGTCGGAGACCAGGTTCTAGATGCGCCTATGGAAGGATATTCGGGACGAGAAAAAGTGGTCGGATCGATAAGGTTGTCGGAGACTCAAGTTTCACTGTGCAGGAATTTAGTGTTATTTTGTATCACACATGTGCAATAGTCAGGTGTACACACACACACATGTGCAATAGTCAGGTGTACACACACACACACATGTGCAATAGTCAGGTGTACACACACACACACACACACACACACACACACACACACACACACACACACACACACACACACACACACACACACACACACACACACACACACACACACACACATGTCCAATAGTCAGGTGTACACACACACATGTGTACATACACGTCATATTGCGAGTGAGACGCAAAGCTAATAAATCATTTCTCAATTTCATTCTCCTTTCTACTCCAGTAACCATGCTGTACAGTACACAGTCAGTTATTGAGAGATTATTGCACAGAAAATAGGAAATGGTTTCAAACTTACCTACAATGTTGAGTTGATATGTTTCTGTTGAGTTGTAATCCACTGTTCTGCAATGGTACAGTCCAGTGTATGAAGTGTTCAGTATAGGATGTACTGTGCTGTTCACCTGTACAATAGTACCTCCTGAGAAGGCACCTGTCTCAGCCCACACTAGACTACCATCAGTCTTCTCTAGTCGAATGAATGGTCCTGATCCACTGGCCACCAAGCATACAGGTAAGTAACTGGTAAAATTGACTGCAGGTTGTCCATCACCAAATGTCACCCTGTATGGTGCTAACTGTCGTGTACCAGCAGCATTTAGACTGACATGTTGACCTGTATGAAGGTACACATGTGGAACAGTGTGACAATGCTAACTCAATACATCACTACCAGCAATGACAATGACCTGACTGGTGTTTCGCTAGGCTTCTGCCGCACGCAGTCCCGTAATGGGCCGTATACCAAGCTCACACTCGACGGAGTCACTCACAACACGAAAGACTTTATGGTTGATTAGAAGTAGAACGCCATGTCACGAACCGACTATTTCGTTCTAAGAAACTACAAGTGCAAAGAAAAACTCTCTGGAAAACAAAAGGCAGCGCAGCCAAACAAAGGTACAGCTAAAAACCTCATGCCGCACGCACAAGAACACAACAACCAAAAAGGCTACACGGTGCCAAGGCTGGCTCAGCGAAACCGACCGCAGCGGAACCTAAATGGTAGCCCGCTGTACAAATTCGATATTACATCAGGCATCAAGGTGCCCCCAAGGGGAGCACATGAAGACAGTAAGATGCCAGGAGATAAAGGTCAAATCACAGAGAACAGACAGCATGACCGCAATGGCAATCAGGAAGAGAAAGCAGATCGCAACTGAACATGATATGAACGTGTAGACTGAACTCCGTGGCATTCTCGCCACGCCATTCTCCCCTTCCTGATGTGTCTACGGAGAGATACATCACCAACACTCGAAGCGGAAAAATGAAAGAAAAAACAGAAAAGATTGCCTGAGTTGCTAGTGCTCAAGCAAACAGAAACAAAAAAAACAAAAATCAAAAAAAGATGATAGGCAACGGAACAAGAAATGAAAACAACATGAAAGAACATGTGCGAAGCAAGAGAGAAGCAAGAGAGTGAAAAGACATGACCATACTTCAATGGCGATGGTCCAATGCTGTTGCTACTCAGTAACTCACTGATATGCTTCCAGCGAGCAGATCTTGCTTATTGGGCGACGTAGCGTGGTCTTCTTCACCTTTACGTCCACGACTCGTACCAGCCCGTCACGTCCTGGGTGAACATCGACAACTCGTCCCAGCTGCCACTGACCACGTGGTGTGTCTTTGGCGAGTAGGATAACGACATCACCGACTTGCACGTTGTTGTAGGGTTTCTTCCATTTGGCACGACCACTCAGCATGGGCAGCCATTCTTGCATCCATCTTGCCCAGAAATGTCTGACCAGCTCCTGGACTCGTCTCCAGCGTCTCCTCAGGCTAGCTGCTGGGTCATCACCGGGTACATCAATACTGTGGCTCGCGTCGCCTAGCAGCAAGTCACTTGGAGAGATAGGAGTACAGTCTCTGGCATCTGAAGATACCGTTGTCAAGGGCCGACTGTTGATCAGGTGTTCTGCTCCAATCGTTGCCGTCACTAACTCCTCATCTGTGATGTCACCTGACTTCAGAATGGCGTACAGTGCTCGTTTGGCAGCCTTCACCATGACCTCAAATGGTCCTCCGAAGTGCGGTGCTGCGGGTGGGTTGAAGTGCCACTGAATCCGTTGACCGTTGGTTGCCTTGATGATCTTCTTCTCGTCCAGTTCACTTCTCAACTCGCGTAGCTCGGTTACTGCACCAACAAAGTTCGTGCCATTGTCAGTGAGCACCTCGTGTGGGGCGCCACGTCGTCCGACCATTCGGAAGAAGCAGTTCAGAAAGCTTCCAGTATCAAGACCATACGCTACTTCGATGTGGATAGCGCGTGTGGCAAGACAGGTGAAGATGCACAGCCATCTCTTTGCCTGCGCTCGGCGTCCCTGCTTGGTGTACATCGGTCCTGCAAAGTCGATTCCAACCCTTTCAAACGCACGGGTGCCGGGTTCAATCCGGAGTGTTGGCAGTGGCGCCATGAGCTGCTTAGCAGGCTTGGCCTTTCGGCGTTGGCATTCAGGACATTGACGATCCACTTCCTTGACTGCTTCGCGTGCACCGACAACCCAGAACCGCTTTACTAACTCGTTCAGAACTTGATTGTTGCCGAGTGCGTGATGACCGTTGCCATGGATCCGCGTGATCACAAGCTTAGTCGTTGGATGCGTCCTGGGAAGGATGATCGGTGAGATCGTGTCAGAGGGCAAGAAGTCCGCGTACTGAAGACGACTCCTTGCACGCAGCAAACCACTGTCATCTAACTGTGGATGGAGTGCTGCAATCTTGCTCTGGGAACTCACAGGTTGTCCCTTCTTGATGGCCTTGATCTCATCTCGGAACTCAGACTCTTGCGCTGATTTCACCAGCATCAACTCAGACTCACTCAATTCGTCCACTGTCAATTCACCCAGTTCGCGGCGTTCGTGTGGCGCGCGAGCGTTGTGAAGAAATCTCATCACCCACGCTTGCACACGAATCAAGCGCTCCAAATCAGAGTATCGCTGCGGTTCCAGTCGCCAAACACTGGGCTCCGTTGCGACTGTGCCCTCATCATCAGTACCCGTCTCAGTGCTGCTCATCAGAACGGTCTCCTTCATAGACTTTGTTTCCTTTGCTTGGGCTGTAGGTAACTGTCGTACTGGCCAGTCATCAGACGGCTTGGCCATGAAGCTAGGACCGGTCCACCACATACTGTCCGGCGTGAGCGATGTTGGGGCGCATCCTCTCGACACAATATCAGCCGGGTTCTCTGCCGTAGGGACATACCGCCATTGATCTGGGCTGCTTGCCTGGTGAATCGTGCTCACTCTGTTGGCAACGAACGTCTTGAACAAGCGACTCCGGCCACGGATCCACCAGATCACGTCCATACTGTCAGTCCAGTAGATGATGTTCTGCGGGTTGATCTGCAACACCTTGGCTACTTCGTTGGCCATTTCGACTCCCAGCACAGCAGCCATCAATTCGAGCCGTGGGATGCTTGTGGCGGTAGTTGGCGAAACTCGTGACTTAGCAGACACAAATACGTTGCTGATCTCGCCGGAGGCGTAGCGGATACGTTGGTAGATGACGGCACCATACGCTAACTCTGATGTGTCGCCAAATACGTGAAGCTCGACATCTTGCGGTGTAGCGCCTGCAATGGCCTGCAAGCAGCGTGGCACTTGAATTGAGCTCAGTGCAAGGAGATCCTGGAACCACTGTCTACAACGTGAGCTCAGTTCGACGGGAAGCACTTCGTCCCAAGTTGCACCGCTAGCCCAGATCTCTTGCATCAGTATCTTGGCACGGATGATCACTGGTGCCAGAAATCCTAGCGGGTCGAAGATCGTCGCGATCTTTCGGAGGATGTTCCTCTTCGTCATCATCATATCGTCAGGTGGTATGACAGCCTGAAAGCTGAACATGTCGCTGTCGCTCAACCAACTGATCCCTAGAGTCTTAATCTGGGATGGGCCGTCTCCGTTCAGGCTGAGTTGCGTTGCCTGATCTTCTCTGGGTATGTGACCCAACAGCTCCGGAGCATTCGACAGCCACTTCCTCACTGCCATGCCTGCTCCCTTCCATGCTGCTGTCACACTCTTGTACAGGGCCACACCCTCGGCAATCGTAGAGACTGAGTCCATACCGTCGTCCATGTAAGTTGATTCGAGCATCATCTCGGCTGCACGGGCGAATTCTGGATCTAGTGTCTTAGCGTGCTCTAGCGCGACCAGTTGCGCTAAGAACGGGGAGCAGTTCAGACCGAATACCACCCGGTTGAATTCGTACACGTCTGGAGCCGACTGCGAGTCTGTATTCCACAGGAATCTCAGATATGGCCGATCTGATTTTCTGACTTCAACCTGTAGATACATCTCCGTAACATCACAGCCAATGCAGATCGGATGCCGCCGAAACCTGAGCAGAACAGCCGATAGATCACGTTGTAACTTCGGACCGGTGTGCAGCAGGTCGTTGAGGGCGGTGCCATCATGCTTAGCTGACCCGTCGAACACAATGCGAACTTTCGTCGTACTTTTGTCCAGTCGGACAACCGGGAAGTGTGGAAGGAGCCACGATCCTGCTTCACGTGGGTTTGCATTCACCTTCACCACGTACCCTTTTCTCACGTAACTCTCAATGGTCTCTGCATAACGCTCTGCAATTTCTGGGACCCGTTTCAGCCTCTTCTGTGTTTGCGCAAGTCTCTTCGCTGCCATGTCGTAATTGTTGGTGGGCCGTGATGCATCTGCCCGCCATGGCATCCCGAAACAGTAGCGACCATTGGTGAACGTCATTCGTTTCTTTGTCGCTGTCAGGACGTCCAGGTTTTCCGGTGACATGGGGTGTTCTGGGCTGGTCACTTGCTCAATTTCCCAGAACTGTCGCAAAGTCTTATCCACACTCAGGAGGGTCTCGCTGCTGGCGATGATAGCGCTGCAGCAGTGGTTTGTGCCCCCGCCACGGCTAACCCCTGCTCCGACGCAGGTCCATCCGAGAGGTGTGAGACGCGCGATGGGCTCTCCGGCTGGTCCAGACACTTCATACAACGCACGATGAAGCTCGGCAATGTCGACGCCAATGAGCAGCTCGATCCTTTCAGGGGTGGCCGGTTCCGGAAACGGTATATCAGCCAAGTGCTCATAGCCAATCTTCTTGCTACTCCAGTCCGTTAGCTGCAGACGTCCTATTACCTGGTTGGGAGTTGTGAGTCCGACTACGGTTGTCCGTGATTGACCGTTAATATTGGCGATATCGAACTCCACTTCCATGGATTTGAAAGTGCTCCGCTTTCCATTCAGCATATTGATAGTCATGTCATGCTGCTCACCACTCATTCCTAGCGCTGTGGCAACGTCTTCATGGATGAAGGTGTTGGTACTTCCGTCGTCCAGAAGCGCATTGACGACGAGCCGCTTACTACCGGACCTGAGAACGACAGGCACAGTGCGTAAACTGGTGTAGCTCGTCTCGGCTGTTGCATTGCTGCATTGCTGGGGGGACTCCCCTTCCATTGGAGTCTCATGCGCTGTTGCGACGCCACAGTGTCCTTGTTCAGCCTTGGTGTTTGCTTTGTCATAACTCCTTTCCTTGCCATCGGCTCTCGGCTTCTTCCTGATCTCAAAATCTGATCGTGCCAAGCCGTGTAGTAGACGATGATGATTCCGTTGGCAACCATCGACACCACAAGTGCGAGTTCGAGGACACTTGTCGCCTCTGTGCCCTGTTCCCAGGCAGCGATAGCACAGGCTTAATTCCTTTGCTCTTGTCCACCGTTGGCCTGTGTCGTGTCCTTTGAAGGTGGAGCATTCCCAAATGCCATGGCTCCCGCTGCATTCTGGACAAGTGGCGCGAGAGGATATGAAAGAAGTCTCCTCGTCTCGTGCCGTCTGTCCGTCTGCCAAGTGTGTATGAGCGTTGCGCTGCTGCAACGAGCGATGGCTACTTGGCCGGGATGATGCCGACTTCTGGATACCGTCTACTATCTCCGTTGCCGTAGTCTGGAATTCAGCCTCCAGTGTCACCCATTTCAACAATGATAACACATCCTCGGTTTGCTGGTGCTCGTACAACCAACGTTGGTACTGAGCCACCATCTGCTTCGTCAGCTTGCTCAGGAGACGGGAGAAGAAGGTGCCGTTCTGTAGCTCCATGTGGCGACCTGCATCTTTGAGGTTCACTACGGCAATCTCGAGCAAATCTGCAAACTTCTCCAGTGCTTGCGGGTTGTAGCGCTGTATCGGCTGGAATGCTTCCAATGTTTCCAGCTGTATAGCCACCTGACGTCGTTGTCCGCCGAATTTTCTTTCAAGCCGCTCCAGGGATATCCTGTATGCCTCTGCGGTGTAGCCAAGCTGCTCTATTGCTCTGAGTGCCTCACCAGTAACATACTGCCGAAGCTGTAGAAGCTTAAGTTGTGGAGAGACGGGTGCAGCGTCAATGCATGCCATAAAGGCGGCCTTCCAGGTCTCGTACATCCGCACATCTCCGCTGAAGGTCGGAACAGCTACTTTCTTCAGCCTTCCAAAGACATCACTGCTGGGCAACCCTGTGCCGTACACAGGTGCTCTGCTGCTTACTGGTTGAGCTGCAGGCCGGAACGCAGGGGCCTGAAAGTTGAGGCTAGCTCCAGGATGTCCTGGAAAAGATCCAACTCTCAACACAGACTTGCCTACATGACCACTGCTTGGGCCTGCAAGTCTGGCATGAATGCTAGCAAGGCTAGATGGCTGACTGGTACTAGATTTGACCAGAGAAACATGGTCCTTCACAGGTACAGCTTGTCCAGAACTAGGTATGGGTCTAGTCACACTTGAGCTTGTGACAGGTACATGCTGTGCAGTGGTAGTACAAGACGTGATACTAGACTGTACACTGTGACTTGAACTGGGGAGGCTCGTGACAGACTCAGTGGTGTGTGCAGGGGGAAGGCTATTCTCCGTTTGATCAGCTCCTTGCTCACCCGGTTTTGGACTGGTGTTGGTCTCTTCAGCTGCTGTGTCCTTGCTGTCATCAGTACTAAAGCCTCTCGGCGTCCTCCGTGACGGTGATCTTTCTAGTAGCAGTCCAATCCTGGGATCTGTTTCCATTGTCAGCGCACTCAGTTCACTCTGCATTTGTCGTAAACCGACTGGACTAGTTGATCTACTGCCTTGGCGTAGTCCGAATTCATCCACACCCAGTAAAGGAAACGACTCCCCTCGTTCAAACTGGCTCTGTGCTGCTTGAGCCTGTCCATACTGCTTCGCTCTTGCAGTCCACAACTCTACAAACTCGTCGTATCTGTCAATTGCCGTCTGCACATCGCGATCGACTTCCTCCATTTCCTCCAAAGTCCGTATCACGTTCCTTTTATCGTTTACGAATTCATATTTTCTTTTCAGCTCGGAAAGCACTGCTGTTACTGCTTGCTCACAGCAGCGCAGCTCATCGTAAAGGTGTCCTGCACCCACAGCGTCGACCTCATTGTCGCGCATTCCTATCGTCAACCCACGTCGGGTATTCGTTAGATTGCGTTTCAGTTGAATCTTATCACTCTTCAGCTTCATGATCAGGCTCTCCATGCCTTCCGTATGTTCACCAGAATCAGCGCCATCATCTCCGGTCGGCTCTGACATCGATGCCGCCGTCGCTGTCTCAGTCTCAGCACTATATTCTCCGCATGCACAACTTTTCTCTCGTTCTTCCTCCATGGTTGGAACTATTTTTGAAATCCAACCTCGTAACTAAATTTCTTCGATCGAAACGTGTATCAACTATCAAACCATCCTCTGCTACCAAATGGTGTTTCGCTAGGCTTCTGCCGCACGCAGTCCCGTAATGGGCCGTATACCAAGCTCACACTCGACGGAGTCACTCACAACACGAAAGACTTTATGGTTGATTAGAAGTAGAACGCCATGTCACGAACCGACTATTTCGTTCTAAGAAACTACAAGTGCAAAGAAAAACTCTCTGGAAAACAAAAGGCAGCGCAGCCAAACAAAGGTACAGCTAAAAACCTCATGCCGCACGCACAAGAACACAACAACCAAAAAGGCTACACGGTGCCAAGGCTGGCTCAGCGAAACCGACCGCAGCGGAACCTAAATGGTAGCCCGCTGTACAAATTCGATATTACATCAGGCATCAAGGTGCCCCCAAGGGGAGCACATGAAGACAGTAAGATGCCAGGAGATAAAGGTCAAATCACAGAGAACAGACAGCATGACCGCAATGGCAATCAGGAAGAGAAAGCAGATCGCAACTGAACATGATATGAACGTGTAGACTGAACTCCGTGGCATTCTCGCCACGCCACTGACAATACTATCACAATGTTAACTCAATACATCACTACCAGCAATGACAATGACCTGACAATACTATCACAATGTTAACTCAATACATCACTACCAGCAATGACAATGACCTGACAATACTATCATAATGCTAACTCAATACATCACTACCAGCAATGACAATGACCTGACAATACTATCATAATGCTAACTCAATACATCACTACCAGCAATGACAATGACCTGACAATACTATCATAATGTTAACTCAATACATCACTACCAGCAATGACAATGACCTGACAATACTATCATAATGCTAACTCAATACATCTCTACCAGCAATGACAATGACCTGACAATACTATCATAATGTTAACTCAATACATCACTACCAGCAATGACAATGACCTGACAATACTATCACAGTGCTAACTCAATACATCACTACCAGCAATGACAATGACCTGACAATACTATCATAATGCTAACTCAATACATCACCACCAGCAATGACAATGACCTGACAATACTATCATAATGTTAACTCAATACATCACTACCAGCAATGACAATGACCTGACAATACTATCATAATGCTAACTCAATACATCACTACCAGCAATGACAATGACCTGACAATACTATCATAATGTTAACTCAATACATCACTACCAGCAATGACAATGACCTGACAATACTATCACAATGCTAACTCAATACATCACTACCAGTAATGACAATGACCTGACAATACTATCATAATGCTAACTCAATACATCTCTACCAGCAATGACAATGACCTGACAATACTATCACAGTGCTAACTCAATACATCACTACCAGCAATGACAATGACCTGACAATACTATCATAATGCTAACTCAATACATCACCACCAGCAATGACAATGACCTGACAATACTATCATAATGTTAACTCAATACATCACTACCAGCAATGACAATGACCTGACAATACTATCACAGTGCTAACTCAATACATCACTACCAGCAATGACAATGACCTGACAATACTATCATAATGCTAACTCAATACATCACCACCAGCAATGACAATGACCTGACAATACTATCATAATGTTAACTCAATACATCACTACCAGCAATGACAATGACCTGACAATACTATCATAATGTTAACTCAATACATCACTACCAGCAATGACAATGACCTGATAATACTATCACAATGTTAACTCAATACATCACTACCAGCAATGACAATGACCTGACAATACTATCACAATGCTGCAGTTGCATTAGCCTTCACACAAACATCAGGGAAGCAAACAACATTGACATCTGACACACATGAAAATAATGACATTGCCAGAACCAAATTCATCCACCATAATATATCTTACCATTGCAGCCTGTCAGCAACAGGGGACAGAAGAGAAGCAAGCAGCCAATCAGGACACCTTCACAGTGGGACACACAAAGAGAAAATGAGAACAGAGATCTAAATTTTAAAAATGACACTAATGTTGTTGTTTCTTTATTTTACTTCACCATATGAACAGGCAAGACTGCCTTCTCACCGGGGCTATTGGCCCACGGCTCTCACAATATGATGAATGTTGGGTATGACTAGTATGGAAAGGACGGGAAGCTAAATGAATCGCACACGAAACTAAAAACCTTGCAATCTTTGTTGGGTATACATGCATTGAATGGGTTGAATCCAACCAATTCCATTTGCATGCAAACCCATGCCTGGTAAGATGTGAACCATCAACCCACAAGGAAATCCTGATACCCACAGGCCCCGGTGCATTGCCAAAGCATGATTTTGACAATAGCTGAAGAGGTCTGGAAGGGGGTGCATTTCACTTTGCTCAGAAATGCGCCGTTGAAAAGCAACAGAAGTGCACACGCGCCCTCATTACAGTAAGCTTCCGTAAAAAGGCTCACGAGCTGCAATTTTAGTTGTGCTTCGAGGCCGACTTGCTCTCCCATCACTTCTGTGAGGATGAAACAGTCCTTTGTTCTGGAAAGGAAAGGAGAAGATAAGTATACTAGGGTCGAAAGGGGTGATCCGAGTACCCGAGTAGCCGTCTGTTTACCTGCTGATCCGTTAGCAAACGAGTACCCGTTAGTCATGTACGACGTTCCGGTACGGTATTATTAGCTGGCTTCTACAGTCGTACAGTTCGCTGTAAAGTTTGAATGTGTTGTTGCTGGTTGGATGCTGCTACATATGACAACTCCTCGGACTGTTTTGCATGCTAGGGCTGTGAGTGTGCATGCTGTGCTTGTCGCCATGCAGAGCACTTGCTGTGAAGTGCATGACTTTGCTTGTCGCCATGCAGTGCACTTGCTGTGAAGTGCATGACTTTGCTTGTCGCCATGCAGTGCACTTGCTGTGAAGTGCATGACTTTGCTTGTCGCCATGCAGTGCACTTGCTGTGAAGTGCATGACTTTGCATGTCCTTCTGGTATGAAATGTGGAAGGCTATTGTACAGTCACTGTTTAAAGGGTATAAACCGGGTAACTATTTACACTCAGCTCAGCTGGGTGTCGGAACGTGATTTAGTGTAGTACGGTCAGCTATCTGAACTGTACAATTTACGCGTGACGGAGGGGTGGTGGAGCCGAAATGTTTGGAAATTCAGAGCCCAAATCAGCACATGTTATTGATTCACGGGGTACTTGCGGCAAATAGTGGTACGGTCAATACCGTAGTGACTGTTGCGTGTCCGACGCCCCTGCAGCTATTTAGTTTCAGCTATACGGCACCAACCCGAAATGCCGAAATAAAAATGCTGAGGAAACTTTTCAAATCGGCTTTGGTGATGCAGTAGTATTGACCGCGTGCCGAAAAATAAATTGCTGTTAAAATGTCAAAAATCATGAAATGCCGGAATTTTCTCTATACACTGTTGCATTTCTAAAATTGGTCCGTGGAGCCAGATCCCAAGCTGGACGCCCAAGCTGGAAACCAAGCTGGATCCCAAGCTGGACCCCAAGCTGGACCCCAAGCTGGAAACCAAGCCGGATACCAAGCTGGATACCAAGCCAGATCCGAAGCTGGACCCCCAAGCTGGAAACCAAACTGGAAACCAAGCCGGATACCAAGCCGGATACCAAGCCGGATCCCAAGCAAGATCCCAAGCCGGATCCCAAGACGGACCCAAACCGGACCCCAAGCCGGATCCCAAGCCGGATCCCAGGCCGGATACCAAGCTGGATCCCAAGCCGGATCCCAAGCCGGACACCAAGCCGCATACCGAACCGGATCCCAAGCCGGATCCAAATCCGCATCCCAAGCCGCATCCCGCTGATGTCGGCAAAGTGAAGAAAGGCAGACCTGAGTGTGGCCTTCACCAGAGCAGGGATCGAGCTATTGGACAACATCAAGAGAATAATAATAATAATATTCTCGGGATCCGCGTCGGCATCGCTTGAATGTTCAGAAACACACAAACTAGCCTTCGCATCCGCAGGCCACCACTATGCCTGTTCACCTTAGTGGCGGATGCAGACCTCACAAGTGAGTCAGGGGAGAGCAGGTTAATCTCTCAACCAATCGGGCGTGTAACAGCCCATAACCCTGTAAACTGCATCCTTGTTACTCTCACTCCGTGCTGTGAGTACCCAGTTGACCGTGGGTATCGGGATAGTTCAACACGCGTAATAAAAAGTCTTTTTACGCGCTCCCTGCTACCAGCGCGGGTCTTGAACTCGGGACCTGATGATTCGCAGGCAGGCCTGCAAACCAATCGGCCATATGCGTTGGTCCTCAAGAGAATAGCAACCGTAATGGAGGTAAAACTGTCACTTGTGGAGTTTGTCTTGAAAAGTAGAATGTTTGCTACGTACAAGCAAGAAGTGCAAGCAAAAACTGTATATCTACCGTGGTTGGTGATTATTTGTGCGAGATGTGTTCAAGTACACGCACTAGCGCAAGTTCGATAAGCGGGGTGCAGTATACTCGCAATGTTGATAAGGTGAAGGTGTACCTATCGAGTTTACAATAAGAGCAACACGCAGGTAAAGACGCTGATCGCGTACCGGCACACGGCCCTGTCCCGAGCGGGCACCATATGCAGCAAACAGAAAATCCGAAGTATCTCGACACGGGCAAAGGTGTTCTACCTTTTGAACTCGTCAGCTTCAGCCGTGGTCGCAGCCATTGTTTCGCAGCCGTCGCACAGCCATTTTGTCGCAGCCGTGGTCCCAGCTCTTTTCACAGCCATGGTCGCACCCATTTTTTCCCAGTCGTGGTCAGTCATTTTTGCAGCCGTGGTCGCAGCCATTTTGTAGCAGCCGCGGTTGCAGCCATTTTCGCAGCCGTGGTCGCAGCCATTTTCGCAGCCGTGGTCGAGCCATTATTTCGCAGCCGTCGTCGCAGTAATTTTCGCAGCCGTGGTCGAAGCCTTTTTCGCAGCCGTGGTTGCAGCCATTTTTCGAAGCCGTGGTCGCAGCCATTTTTCGCAGCCACTTTCTGTGTCGCAGTCATCGTCGCAGTCTGTGACGCCTCCGTTGTCACAACCCTTTTCTGTGTCGCAGTCATCGTCTCAGCCTGTCCCGCCTCCGTTGTCGCAACCGTTTTCTGTGTCGCAGTCGTCGTCTCAGTCTGTGCCTCCTCCGTTGTCGCAACCGTTTTCTGTGTCACAGTCATCGTCGCAGTCTGTGCCGCCTCCGTTGTCGCAACCGTTTTCTGTGTTGAAGTCAGCGTCGCAGTCTGCGCCGCCTCCGTTGTCACAACCATTTTCTGTGTCGCAGTCGTCGGCGCAGTCTGTGCCCCCTCCGTTGGCACAACCGTTTTCTGTGTCGCAGTCGTCGTGGCAGTCTGTGCCGCCTCCGATGTAACAACGACTTTCTGTGTCGCAGTCTGTGCCGCCTCCGTTGTCGCAACCGTTTTCTGTGTTGCAGTCATCGTCGCAGTCTGCGCTGCTTCCGTTGTCAAAACCGTTCTCTGGGTCGCAGTCGTCGTCCCAGTCTGTGCCTCCTCCGCTGTCGCAACCGTTTTCTATGTCACAGTCATCGTCGCAGTCTGTGCCGCCTCCGTTGTCGCAACCGGTTTCTGTGTAGCAGTTATTGTCGCAGTCTGCGCTGCCTCCGTTGTCACAACCATTTTCTGTGTCGCAGTCGTCGGCGCAGTCTGTGCCCCCTCCGTTGGCACAACCGTTTTCTGTGTCGCCGTCGTTGTGGCAGTCTGTGCCGCCTCCGATGTAACAACCATTTTCTGTGTCGCAGTCGTCGCAGTCTGTGCCGCCTCCGTTTTCACAACCGTTTTCTGTGTCGCAGTCGTCGTCGCAGTCTGTGCCGCCTCCGTTGTCACATTTGCTGCCTACATGTATGTCACAACCGCTGTTTGCAACGCAGACATTTTTTCGCAGCCTTCGTCGCAGCCATTTTCGCAGCCGTCGTCGCAGCCATTTTTTTCGCAGCCGTGGTCGCAGCCATTTTCGCAGCCGTGGTCGCGGCCATTTTCGCCAGCTGTGGTCGCAGCCATTTTCGCAGCCGTTGTCACGAACATTTTTTCGCAGCCGTGGTCGCAGTCGTTTTCGCAACCTTGGTTGCAGCCCTTTTTTCGCAACCGTGTCGAAGCCGTGGTCGCGGCCATTGTTTCGCAGCCGTCGTCGCAGCAATTTCGTCGCAGGCTTGGTCGCAGCCATTTTCGGAGCCGTGGTCGCAGCCGTTTTTTCGCACCCGTGGTCGCAGTCATTTTCGCAGCCTTGGTCGCAGCTATTTTCGCAGCCGTGGTAGCAGCTATTTTGTGGTAGCAGCTATTTTTGCAGCCGTGGTCGCAGCACTTTTCGCAGCCATGGTCGCAGCCATTTTTCGCAGCCGTGGTCGCAGCCATTTTCGCGGCCGTAGTTGCAGCCATTTTCGCAGCCGTGGTCGCAGCCATTTTCGCAGCCGTGGTCGCAGCCATTTTCGCAGCCGTGGTTGCAGCTATTTTCTCAGCCAAGGTCCCAGCCATTTTCGCAGCCGTGGTCCCAGCCCTTTTCGCAGCCGTTGTCGCAGCCATTATCAATACGCAACTGGTGCCTGCGTCGCAGTCATTTTCACAGCCGTTGTCTGTGTCGCAACCGCAGCCGTGGTCGCAGCCATTGTTTTGCAGCCGTCGTCGCAGCCATTTTGCCGCAGCAATGGTTGCAGCCATTTTCCCAGCCGTTGTCGCATTCATTTTCGCAGCCGTGGTCGCAGCTATTTTCGCGGCAGTGGTAGCAGCCATTTTTGCAGCCGTGGTCGCAGCCATTTTCGCAGCCCTGGTCGCAGCTGTGGTCGCAGCCATTTTCGCGGCCGTAGTCACAGCCATTTTCTCATCCGTGGTCGCAGCCGTTATCGCAGCCGTGGTTGCAGCCATTTTCGCAGCCGTTTTCGCAGCCATTTTCGCAGCCGTGGTCGCACCCATTTTTTAGCAGCCATTTTCACAGCCATTTTTGCAGCCGTGTCGCAGCCATTTTT